GCCACCTTTGCACCCTGACCTGGACATGCCCGGAGCCTGAAGGGCTGTCAGGCCACCAAAGAGCCTGATGCCTTTCTGAGAGCCCAAGGGCCCTCACCTAGAGGCCCGGATCCATTGCTCTGCCATCTCTGTGCGCTCTCCTCTCACCCTGGCTTCCCTGGGATGCAGCCATGACCCGGCCGCCGGACAGCAGTCGGCGGGACTCTGGCCACCCTGGGTCTTCCTAAGGAGCACTTCCGCTATCTCAAAGTTGCCATAAGAAAATAAATACAAGTGACATTGTACTGGGCCAAAGCTCATTAGTTCGTTGTCCGGGCCTAATAAAGGAACAGAAGCGCAAATTATAGAGTTCAGCTTCAACACACGCCCTGTCACCCGAGATCAGCGTACCAAGAGCCTGATTCCAATTGCTCCGAACTTGCTGCGCACTCCGCCCCCCACCCCCACCCCCACCCCCTCCTTGAGAGCAGGAGGTTGGGTGGAAAAATATAGTTCCAAAGGGGGTAATGATCAAGCTTTTCCTCTCGGAAGCCTGCACCACCTCATTTCCCATCAGTAATCCCAATAAAATTAACGTCGTGGCTGCAATTGAAAAGAGAAAGGCCCGCGACACTCCTGAAATAACACACTCTCCCCCAGCAAAAGGTAAAAAGCAAAACGGCCCTTTGTTCAGCTAATTAACGAAGGCCCAACTCCGAAAGCAGATGTGTTTGCTTAGCTAATCACAAGCATGTTTCTTTCAAGGAACGTCATTTTGAGGGGGGCTCTGAGCGGGTGGAGAGGGGGACACCGCCCCCCTAGGCCTTGCCCACCCGGGGGTCTCTCACCCCAGCCTAAGCTCCAAAGGCTGAAGCGGGCAGCTCATCTCTCACACCTTGCTTCACATCGGCCCTACCCTAGAGGCCCAATAGGCAGGAACCGAGGCACCGGCCAAAAGGCCAGACCTACAGGACTCCAAGGGAAAAAAATAAATAAATAAAAGTTGTAATGATACAGACGCCATATCAAATGAGGCAATTTTACCATTCACTTCGAATAGGACGCTAACTTATTACAAGTGTGTTATCAGAAGGACGATAAGATTTATAACTGCAAGAGTCAGCTCTATGCCTTAGTGACAATGGATGTGAAGCGGGGGGAATCTCTATTAGGACATCAGAGTCCTTTCCCGTTTTCAAGCATTTTCTGGATGCAGCCGGCGGGACAGATACCAAGCCCTTTGTGTCTCCATAGGAAAGATTCTTCCTTTCCTGTTGGACCAGGAAACCGGGTCTCCTGGTGAGGTTAGCACCTCGGCTAGCTTTCCAGCGTGAGCAAGGAAGAGAAGAAAGAGAAGAGGAAATGGAGACAGACTTGCGGATGCAGTGGACGTGGGGACAGTGGTCTGCCCTCCAGTTCACGCAGTAAAACTATTCTCCCCATCCTCCTCTACCCTACAAAAGATAGCTTTCCCCTAAATCAATACAGTAAGCAAACTTTTAAAAACTGGGGTCCTATTTCAAACCAACGCCCAGCACTAACTGCTTTAAAATTACTGCATAATTAGATTTAGTTGAATTTCACCATTAATTAGGCAGCCGCGCTGCAGGGAGCCTTTGAAATCTGAGAAAATGGGAAAAATCATCTGAAGCACGTTTTAAAAACCCAACTTCAATAAATCTTGACGAAGCCTGGAATTTAGAGGATACTTTGCTCCCCTCCCAGGCGGCACAGATAGGGTTCTCCAGGCCCGGGTTAGGGCTGGGATTGGACGTAGTGGGTGATTCCCCCTGCGGCCGAGAGTGAGGCCCGGTCCCAATCTACTGGTCCTAAAGAGGTCCTGCGATCGCAGTCTCTGGGAGGCCAGGCCTATCCCAGGCCGCCCTCGCCCGCCCTCGAACCTATTAGAGAAAGAGGATCCTCCGCCGCAGACGCGCTCATGCAAGAAGTGCACATTTTTCTGGGATCTCCGACCCCCCTTCCCGGAACCAGCCCTAGGCCCCTGTTCGCTCCCACTCCCCAGTCCAACCTCTGCCCTGAAAGCCACCTTTCCTAAACTTGGACGTGCACGCTGCAAGTTCTGCCTCGGTCCGGCGGGTTCGCAGCCGCCCCCCTCCCTAGCCGGCTCGGGCCCGGGCCCGGCGGCGCAGCCCTGCACTCCCGAGAACTGACCCAAGTCTGCAAATCCTCGCCTCTCCCCCTCCCCCTACGCCATTCAAACATTTAAGATCATCTGTGCATACAGATTGTTCCCTTTCCTTTCTCTCATTTGGTTCCTGGAAGGAGAGGGGACAAGAAATCAACTCTCCTGGATAACGGGGGTGGGGGCGAGCTGGAGGGGGAGGGTGCCGCGTTCCCTACGAATTCTGCTGCTTTAATTACAGAATAATCGAGGACCGCACTCCCTTGCCCAGCAAGAGTTTAAAGGAGGGTTTTCTGCCTGCAGACGGAACGGTCTTTAGCCCCCTGCACCCCACCCCCCCGCTTTTTTTTTTTTTTTTTTTTTTTTTTTTTTTTTTTTTTTTTTTCTGTCTCTTCCATTACCCAGCGCTGCAGAGCCTGGCAGCCGGCGCTCGCGGTGCACTGGGAGACGCCATGTTGGCTCCGCTCATAGGACCGAGTCAAAAGCG